CCGGAGCAGTCAGAGGGCCAGCAGGAGGTATTTTGATGATCACGCTGCTCGCTCAGCATCTTCCGGAAAGGTCGGCGTGCCCAGAGGAATCCACCCATAAAGAGCAAAACCCCTGTAGGAACGGGAGGACTTAGACCATCACAACCCATACGGGGCCGACGAGGAGCGCCGCTTCCCAGCCTAGCAACCTCTAATGCAAACCCATTTTTATTTGCAGGTGTCCACCTCTTGGGGGGTGGGATTACAACTAAGGTCCTTTGGGGGGCGGATCTTGCTGCATTTGGCTGAAAACCAGGTTTAAATGGGCACTTAAGCCATTTATGGCGGGACGCTTATTGGAAAATCAGACACTGAAATCTGCCGCTTCTGCCCTTTCCTTTCCCTCCGGCGTCGTGCTCTGTCGTGCTCAATACATCACCAGCCAAACCTCGTAAGACGCCCCGCACGTCCCCAGCGCAACGAAAGCGCTCTGCAGCTGCCAGAGGTCTTCCACGGTGGTGTCATCGCACAGTAAAAGAAAATAAAGCCCTTTTCATGGCCGCTTCACTGCGTTTCTATTTTTCTTCCCCTCTCACAGGAAAGCTGTAATTTAACAGCCAACTGTATTTTTTTTTGCTACAGATTTTCCAGGGAACTCTGGGATGGAAGACCATTAAGCATCAACCCGCTGAGAAAAGAACAGAGGTATTGACGAGGATCATGCAGTATTGGAAAGGAGGTATCTTAAGGGGCAGCGGCACACTGCAGACCACATCAGGACAGGACTTCGTGCACACACAGAGAGGGTTGACCCGCGTCTACACTGGCCCAGTTCAGGCAGCCAGAGACACTCACATGAGCAAATACGCTCCCCCACCCCCGATAGAAAAAAGGAGCTCTCGAGGAGTAGGAGCATCAAAGGTTTGCACGTTTTCCATGAGTAATGAACCATTTTCCATGGCAGAATACCCCCTCATAGAAGCCCTGCTGGGTCAGGCCAGTGGAGGGTCCACCTACTCCAGCCTCCCGTCTCACACAGTGGCCAGCCAGTTCCTCCAGTGGGCCAACAACAGGGCACAGAGGCCGAGGCCTTCATTAGAACATGAGATGAGTCCTGCTGGATCAGACCAGTGAGGGTCCGTCTAGTCCAGCATCCCGTCTCACACAGTGGCCAGCCAGTTCCTCCAGTGGGCCAACAACAGGGCATAGAGGCCGAGGCCTTCCCCTGATAAGAACCTAAGAAGAGCCCTGCTGGATCAGACCAGTGAGGGTCCATCTAGCCCAGCATCTCATCTCACACAGTGGCCAGCCAGTTCCTCTGGAGGGCCAACAACAGGGCACAGAGGCCGAGGACTTCCCCTGAGAAGGACACCAGAAGAGTCCTGCTGGGTCAGACCAGTGAGGGTCCATCTAGCCCAGCGTCTCATCTCACACAGGGGCCAGCCAGTTCCTCTGGAGGGCCAACAACAGGGCAGAGAAGCCGAGGCCTTCCCCTGATAAGAACCTCAGAAGAGCCCTGCTGGATCAGACCAGTGGACCATCTAGCCCAGCATCCTGTCTCACACTGTGGCCAACCAGTTCCTCTGGAGGGCCAACAACAGGGCAGAGAGGCCGAGGCCTTCCCCTGAGAAGAACATGAGAAGAGCCCTGCTGGGTCAGACCAGTGAGGGTCCATCTAGTCCAGCATCCTGTCTCACACTGTGGCCAACCAGTTCCTCTGGAGGGCCAGCAACAGGGCAGAGAGGCTGAGGCCTTCCCCTGAGAAGAACGTCAGAAGAGCCCTGCTGGGTCAGACCAGTGAGGGTCCATCCAGTCCAGTATCCCGTCTCACACAGCGGCCAACCAGTTCCTCTGGAGGGCCAACAACAGGGCAGAGAGGCTGAGGCCTTTCCAGATGTTGCCTCCTGGCTCTGGGATCCAGAAGATGAGTGCCTCTGAACATGGAGGTTCCCCCTCAGCCACCATGGCTAGCAGCCACCGACAGACCCCTCCCCCACCCACCTGTCTTAAACAGTGAGCTCACTACTTCCAAACAATCTACGGCTATCCCCGTCCCTCCAGATCCCACCATTTCAGGATCTCCAGGCTACCCAAATCCCATTCAGAAGGCCACATGCCGGTTGAGCTGGTTTGATACCTCAATGACATCTCGTTCACATCGGCTTGTCTTCTGCATAAAGCCCAGGTGTGTGGCTCTGTACCGAAACAGCTGCACCATGGCAGAGAACCGAAAAGGATGGGACGAACTTGGACCAAAGAGTGGGCAGTACTCCGCACGATCCTTTCTATGCACCCGCCACTCCTGGAGGTACCAAAATTGGCTTGCTGGATCTGGCCCACCCGCAGGCGAGTCCAGCATCCTCCTCTCAGCTCATGGGTGGGGCAGGAATCGGGCCCCCAGCCCTCGCCTAGCCCAAGAAGACAGAGACTCCACTGAGGAGTTACAGACAACATGGCTCGGGATGTCTCTCTTCCGCTGACAAGGCTGCAGCTCAAAGCTAAACATGCACACCGCAGAACTCCCCAGCCAGAGTCCCGGGAACACCACAGCCTGTGCTCTGGACAGCAAACACGGACGGACACCCCCCCACACACACACACAAGAACGAAGGCGCAAATGCAGCCTGAGAAAGGCCAGCAGCCCGGGGGGGGGGGGGCGCTCTACTGAACCGCAAGCAAAACCCAACGAACAGTTCTGCCACCGTGGCACAACCGAGTCCAGTGAGTTGTCTTTTTGGTAGCTGGGAGGAAAGGGGACAAACAGAACCCCCCCCTTCTCAAGTGCCCCCCCCACTCCAACGCTGGACCTAGCCCGAGACTTCTGAATCCTCCCACAAGGCTCGTGCTGGAATTGGGGTCTGCCTGGACCCCACCATCCCCTTTCCGGCGCAGAAACGAAATCTTCCCCCTTCGAACACTGTCGCCTACGGGCAGGTATCCCACCCCCTACAACAGGGGTCTCCAACATGAAGCCTCTCGGATGCCACCCAAGGGCTTTTAGGAAGCGGGTCGGGCTTTTGCTCAGCAAGGCTTCTGATCGGCTGTGCACATTTTCAAAAACGCTGCTTTGGTGGCGGCGGCGGCAGCCACCACAGCACAAAGATCTTCACTGTGTGACCGTAGGTAAATGGCAGCGGCCATTTTGTGGCCGGCTCTGCCTCTTGCGACGGCCATTTTGTGGCTGAGCCCACCACACGGAGTCAGGACTTCCAAAAGGGACGGCAAGCGCTAAAAGGTTGGGGATCCCCTGCCCTACGGTTTCCCCTCCAATCATTTCCAGGGACCGTGGGGGTGGGGGGGTTCCAAACTCTGAAACCTCCAGAGCGGGAAACATAAGAAGCTCTCCTCACACGCAATGCAGTGCAGGCAGCAGCATTTTCAACGATGAATCCCTCTTGGCCGTTTTGGCATTCAGATCTCAGCAGAGATTCATACACACACACCGCCCCCAACACAGAATTATAGAGTTGGAAGGGACCTCCAGGGTCATCTAGTCCAACCCCCTGCACAAGGCAGGAAATTCACAAATACCTTCCCCTCCACACCCACGGTGACCCCTGGTCCACACCCAGAAGACGGCAAAAAACCTCCAGGATCTCCAGCCTAACTGGCCTGGGGAAAAATGGCTTCCTGACCCCAATGTGGCAAAAAGTATTTCCCTGGGCCTGTAAGAAAGGGCCACAAGAACTGAGCCCTGATGGCAGCCCTTCTTCCTGCCCTCCCTCGCGTGATCTGCATACACACACACATACCAGCATCATCTCAATTCACTTCCACCCCATGGAAAGCCCAGCCCCACGACAAAGCAAGCAAGCCAGCCCTAAGGGACCCCCCCCCCCCAAAACCTGAGAAATGAAGTTCCACACTCCATCTTCCTTTATGTACCGGCATAGCCTTTAATAAAAACAGGCAGTTTTTCCACCTTTAAGCCGTAGTTAGATTTGTTTTGTTTTTTTAAAACCAGATCAAAAGCAAAAAATTAAAAAATAATCCATAAAAATGTGGTATAAAAAATCTTTTCTTCCATATGCTACATTACAGGGCAGGATCTTTTGCTACACAAATACGTAGATTTCCCGTGTTTAAATTTTATTTACTCCTTTACTACAAAAAGGCCAGAAGACGGGTCCCCCTCCCTCCCCCTTAACTTCGCTTTGGGCCCAAAGGCCGAGAGAGAGATTGCCAAAGCCACAGAAAACCTGACCGAACGGCACGCCCCCGCACCCCCCCACCGTACAGAAACCAGATGTCAGTAAACATTTTCTTTAAAAAAGGAAAACCAAAACCTGTATTTAAATGTTACCATTTCTATGACTTTACTTTCATTGCAGTGGAAAAAAAAGAACCCCACACAAGTTGCTATTATTTCTTTTTCTTGGTTCCCTGAGCAATTGTTGAAAGGTTGTTCTGCTTTGTTTGAAAGCTCTCTTCCTCAGTGTTTTCGGCCCAAAGGTTGCGATGGACGTTGTCAAGAGGGCCGGCGGGACGTGGACTCGCTTGCTTCGAAATCACAAACGTTTTCCCAGTAAAAAACAGAACCATGGAAGGAGGCGAGTGTTCGGTCTGAGCTGCCATCAGGTGAAAGATCCAACCGCTCTCCAAAATCTGGCCCCGTTGCAGCAGCAGCAGCAGCCAAGTTGCGGAAGGACAGGCCGAGACGGTTCACGGGGACAGCAAACAGTTCCTCGGAGGGGAGCTTCGCTCGAGCTGCGGATCCGGAGAGCGTCGCCATGCGGAAGCCGGGAGGGGTGGTGGGGGAGGAGGAAAAGGATGCCCCCCCGCCCTCCCCCAAAAAACCACCAACGAATATAATTACAGCAGACCAAAGGGGGGAAAAAAAGGAAATACACAGCCAGGGTACCAGACAGACGGTGTCCCTCTCCCTATTAAAACGTTCCGGCTATTTACATTTCCCACAAGTCTCACGGAGAGATCAAAAAAACCACAACGCTTGTCTCCGCTGAAGGCAAGTCTCCCGATCACAGGCGTGAGAACCGGAAAAGTGAAAAAATCCAGGGCGGCGGGGGGGGGGGGGGGGCGCGGACACGGGGGCTCATCACGCAAGAGCCCAGAGACCCTTGGGGAAATCGCCGCGACTCCCAAGGGATCCAAATCCACAGAATGACTCCAAGAGCACGACGGGAAACCCACACGCAGGTGACGCAACTCCACGGGGCGCATGCCGGGAATTCCTGGCGCTCCCCACCTCTCCTTCTGCTGGCGCCCACCGGAGGTCCGCCTTCCTCTCTTGCCAGGCCTCTCGGAGAGTGACGGCTGCGCGGAAGCCCTGCCCCCAGGTCAGTAGATCACCTCGTAGACGGTGGCCTTCTTGTCCCCCGAGCCCGTGACGATGTATTTGTCATCGGCCGAGATGTCGCAGCTTAAGACTGAGGAAGATTCTTTCGACTGGAGGGGGGGGGGAGAAAAAGGAACGCTCGAGTTTTACGCTTCTTTCCCATCTTCGACAGCAGTGAATTGTTCTTCTCTGCTTCTTACAGTGATATATAGACACAGCAGGCCTTATCAGGCGCCATTTTAACTCTGCGAAGCGCCAGATACGGCAGACAGAGCCAATAAATAACACATCCTGAACGGCAGCCTCCTGTTGACGTGGCGATGGGTCCCGGGGGGGCCCTCCATCCACACAACTCCTCCCCACCAGCTGTAGGGCTCACCTGGAGAGCCAGGTGTCCTGAACCTCATTTACCACCACCCCCAAGCCAGCAAGGGAGGGGGGACCTCCTCTGCCTGCCTCTCCCCAGGAGAGATTTCCCTCCATCTCCCCCCCCTCTCCTGCTTCAAGCTCGGTAGGAGAAGAGAGAAGAGATCGGATGTATACCCCATGGCCCTTCGCTACCCAATGGAGTCTCAGAGCGGCTCACAATCTCCATTCCCTTCCCCATCCCACAACGGACACCCCGCGAGGTCGGTGGGGCGGAGAGAGCTCTCCCGAGAACCGCTTGTGATAGAACAGCTCCAGATGAACTTGTGACTGACCCAAGGTCACACCAGCTGGCTGCACATGGAGGAGTGGAGAACCAAACCCGGTCCCTCCCAGATTAGAGTCCGCGCTTCCTAACCATGACACCAAACTGGCTCTGGTAAACAATCTGCTTGTTCCAGAGGTGCAAAGATGTTGAGAGCGAGGCACTTTGCACATGCTTGCCAGCATGCTCTCCAGTGCCATCGTGTCCCCTTGCCCAGATGGAGCCCACCCCCATCGCTGCCTTGGCTGAGGGCTTCCTCAAGGCAGCTTGCCGGGGGTGGATGGGGGGCGCTTCCTCCAAACCCACCACCCTGTGCCGCCTCAAAGCCTGGGGGGAGTCCAGTCCCCCCCCCCCCCCCCCCGCTCGGGACAGGCGCTTACCTGGAATATGCTCGCTCCGTAAGGAGTCCTCCAGGCATTGAGGAGGTTGTCTTTGCCGGTGCTCACAAACCACTTCCCTGCAGGAACAAAGCCCAGAGTCAGAGGTCAAGCGAGGCAGCAACCAAGAGTGCCAGCCAGCTGCGAGCAGAACCGGGACATCGGCAGATACTGGTCCCGCAAGACTTTTTTTTTAAGATGGTGCATGTGTGTGTCCTCCAGTCACAGGCTGTTGGGTATTACAAGTTAAAAACACTTCAGTGTATCTGGGGTTAAATGTTTGTTTGTGCTGCTCACAGGAAGTCACATGTTCTTCATGTAACCAATGTTAGTTTAGATGCTGGAAGCAAGGGAATTTTCTCCATGATCTAGGAGTTTGATTGGAACTAAGGTGTCAAAGTGTTTTAGCATTTTATAGCTCCTCTTCCCGCCTTTGTTTGGAGTTCTCAAGAAGAAGAAAGAAGAGCAGCCATTACTCTCTCTTCTAGTCTTGTCTTTGTAGTGCAAGGATGTAGCCGATTTAGCTCCGTTGTTATTTTCATCCCAGTTACCCTTCCCTATGCTAGAATGTAGTAAAAACTTTCTATTTTAATCACATGCGGAGTCTCAGTCTGAATTACTTTACTCAGACTCTGCTGGGCTATTTTATCTCTGCTAAATACCAGGTTTTTTTTCTATATCTCACTATCGAAAGACCCAACACAGGCTGACTTATGGCGACCCCGCAGGCGGTTCCCCTGGCCTGCCTCCGCGCCACGACCCTGGTATTCCTGGGAGGTCTCCCTTCCAAGCTGCAACCGGGGGCCGACCCTGCTTAGCTTCCGAGATCCGATGAGGTCGGGCTGGGCTGGCCAGGTCAGGGTTTTTAAATGATCGCGACTGGAAGAAACCCAGCCTCATACATCACTTAACCTCAGTAAATGTAAGGAGGAGGAGGAGGAGGAGGAGGAGGAGATGGGATTTGTACCCCGCCCTTCACTCAGAGTCTCAGAGCGGCTTACAATCTCCTTTCCCTTCCCCTCCCCACAACAGGCACCCTGGGAGGCAGGCGGGGCTGAGAGAGCTCTTTCCAGAACGGCCCCTGAGAGAACAGCTCTGACAGAACTGTGGCCTGCCCGAGGTCATCCAGCAGGTGCAAAGTGGAGGAGTGGGGAATCAAACCCGGTTCTCCTAGATCAGAGTCCGCACACTTCACCACGACACCAAACTACAATGGAAGCATTGTAATGGCAGGTCTCCATTCCCTTTGGAGGCGTGCTCTGCCGCTCTCTGCTCCGTGTGACTTCCCCACCCCTCAAGGCTGCACCAAGGAGCATGAGCCGCTTCAGTAGCTGCTTCAGTCCACCGGCCCATTGCATCTCTCAAGAGGCAGTCCCGACTCACAGCTCGGTTCCCCAAGACCCCCTGAACTGGGGGCCAGCCCGGGGGCCCTTCAGGGTGGAAAGCATCGATCTGACTGCAGAGCTACAGACCCTCTTCCAAGGAGGAGGAAAGGGCGCCGCCTGGGGCGCGGGTCTACTCACCGCAATACGCGAACTTCAGAGAGAGGACGCAGCTCTCGTGAAGGTGGAGCTGGTACTTGTCGGGCTTGGTGTGGTGCAGGACTTCCACGTTGCTGCTCTCCATGCCGACGGCCAGCCACTCCCCGGTTGGGCAGTACCCCAGAGAGAAGATCTATGGGGAGGAGGAGGAGAAGATTGGATTTATACCCCACCCTTCACTACCCAAGGGAGTCTCAGAGGGGCTTACAAACTCCTTTCCCTTCACCTCCCCACAACAGACACCCTGGGAGGTCGGTGGGGCGGAGAGAGCTCTGACAGAAACTGCTCTTTTTTCAAGAACAGCTCTTATCAGAACTAGGTCTTGCCCAAGGTCATCCAGCCAGGTGCAAGTGGAGGAGTGGGGAATCAAACCCGGTTCTCCCAGATTAGAGTCCGTGCACTTAACCACGACACCAAACTGGCAAAGGGTTGAACGTGGCCTCTTCTGTGTGCAATGCAGGTCGTCTCCCACTCAGCCATGGCCCTGCACCAGCAACAACCCCCCCCCCATTTGATTTTATGGATGACCCTCAAACGGGGGTGGGCTGACCCGGCTGCGGGGGTTCCCAGCACAGTCAGAGCTACGCTGGGAGACAGATCCCCGGGCGTGCACCAGTGTTCCCTCTAAGCCGAGTTAGTGTGAGATAGCTCACAGTTTTTTAGCTTCCAGGTCACACATTTTTGTCTTAGCTCAAGAAGGGCCAGAGTTGGCTCCAGAGCCAACTAATTTATGCTGTAGCCAAATGGCTCGCTCACAAAGTAGAATTTTTGCGCACAAGACTCCACAGCTTAGAGGGATCGTTGGCCTGCACTTTTCTCAGGCTCAGCAACTGCTCCTCATGTCGGAGGCCAATGTTCGATGTGGTTTTCGCCTCCCCTCAACGCCTGCGCTCCAAATACTCTTTGCCAGCGCGGGGTCCTTGCAGCGTTGGGCACAGAAACACCCGGTCAAAGCCAGCAGCATCAAAAGCAGGGCACGGCATTCCAGGACCTGAGGGCACCGTGTGCCCTGCGGCTTCTCCCAGCAGTCTGTTTTCTAGCTAGGATATTGGGCACAGTCGGATAGAGAAGAGGCACCTCCTCGGCCTTCTGTCACTGCCACAAAAAGATCCCACAATCCCTCTCTCCAGAGCAGCTCATGGGACGCCCCATTGTGCCTGTTGATAATGCCCAGCGTCTTCAGGTGAGGCTCCGGTAGATATCCAAGGACCGCCTCCGCGACGATGCCTCCGGGGTCCAGCATTTCTGCGTGAAGCTTCCGCAGAGAATCATGCAGAGCTACTGTCCCGGCTAGCGAACATCAGCAGCTTTGCAGCCAAAGCCGTCCTGCTGCAAAGCGCTTTTTTCAGGAGGGCCTCGATCCGGCAAGGGGAGATGAAAACGCAACGGACGCGGAGGCACTTCCGAGGCTTACCTGGGAGGTGAAGTCGTGCTGCTGCAGCTGCCGCCCTTCCCGGAGGTCCCAGGAGCGCACCGTGTTATCCAGGCCGCCCGTCCACAGCTTGGTGCCGTCGTGCGAGATGTCGATGCAGCTGGCCCCGTCGGTGTGGCCCTGGAATTGCCTGGAAGCAGAACTGGGTGTTAGTTTCCACCTCTGCCGATCTGAAAGACCCTCTTTTCTCTTGCTCTGTCTCCATGGCAGGGGGCACGGGAGAAGTGACATTTATTTATTTTATTTTTATTAAATTTAATTCATACCCCCACCCTCCCTGCGAGCAGGCTCAGGGCGGTTTACATTATCTGCACGTAGGTACCAACAAAGTTCACATAAAGTCATTTAAAACAGTTCAAATACAATTACGATACAGATACAAATAAAATCATAAAATCCTAAAGTGCTGGCGGTAGATCATACATTACTTGACGTGGCGTGCAAAAGAATGCATACAAATAGACAGTTTCCCCACTCGGTGCTGTCCCTAAATCGCACGGTGGCTAACACCAAATATCAAAACTAGGGCCAGGATCTAAAGCCATGGTTGTTGGTGGTAGTTGTTTGGGCGGCTCCTTAGTTGAAAGCCGCGTTGCCTCTAAGCTGAGTTAGTGTGAGCTAGCTCACACATTTTTGTCTGAGCTCAGGAAGGATGGGGCTTCAGAGCAGACTAATTTATGCAGCAGCCAAATCACCTGCTCACAACTTTAATGCCAGTAGCTCACAAAGTAGAATTTTTGCTCATAGGACTCCACAGCTTAGAGGGAGCCTTGGTTGAAAGCCTGGCGGAAGAGCTCCGTCTTGCAGGCCCTGCGGAACTGTAAAAGATCCTGATCTCTTCCGGGAGCTCGTTCCACCAGTATGGAGCGCCGCCACTGAAAATTTCAGACGACCCCAAACTTGCAGGGTCGGAGACTGCGAGGGAAAGCAGGGCTGGAAGGGAAGTTTGGGGTTGAGGGGCATCTGCTGCCTCCTGCAGCCCAGCGCAAACCAAAGGTGACCTGGAGGGGGGAGGGGAGGGGGAACCAGCCACCTCCCTCCCGCTACTGTGGGCCCATTTCCACATCTTTTTGCCCAATGGGTCCTTCCACATGTCCTTGTGTGCCCGCTGCAGTCTGCAGCCCGCCATCCTAAAAACTTCGGGTGGCCTGCCTGGCACTGACAGAGCCGAGGCCTTTTCTCCTGTGGCCCCAGCAGCTCTGTGGCTCCCTGAAGACAGGAGAGGGGACCCCTCCTTGGAGACCTTCGGGATGTGCTATTTGCTGGGGATCTGAACTGGGCAGACACCTTTCGAGGGGGGGGGGGGGAAGAGATTTGGGGCTTGCTATATTATCTTTGGTTTTCACTGAAAACGTTTATAAATAATTTAATCAATTGATAAGCCTCGGCCCACCAAGGCTGGCAAGAAACCGCGCCAACCAAACCGCCTTCTCCCTCCCGCTTCGAAACCCCCCCGTCAGCAATCTGTCCCCCCCACCCTTTCTGGCCGACCCCCCAAAAGGTTGAATCGTTTGAGGGTACTTTAGCATGGAGAAGCGACGGCTGAGGGGTGACATGATCGAGGTTTACAAGATTATGCATGGGATAGAGCAGGTAGGGAAGTACTTTTCTCCCTTTCTCACAATACAAGAACTCCTGGGCACTCCATGAAATTGCTGAGCGATCCAGTTAGAACGGATAAAAGGAAGTCCTTCTTCACCCAAAGAGGGATTAACACATGGAATTCACTGCCACAGGAGGTGGTGACGGCTACAAGCATGGACGGCTTCAAGAGGGAATTAGATAAGCATATGGAGCAGAGGTCCATCAGCGGCCATTAGATAGGAACTCTTGGTCTGAAGCAAGTGATGCTCTGTATTCTTGGATGTTGGGGGGGTCAACAGTGGGAGGGCTTCTAGTGTCTTGGCCCCACTGGGTGGACCTCCTGGTGACCCCTGGTATTTCTGGCCCCTGTGTGACACAGAGTGTTGGACTGGATGGGCCACTGGCCTGATCCAACATTGGCTTCTCTTATGTTCTTATAGGAACTCTCGGTCTGGTGCAAGGGATGCTCTGTCTTGGTGCTTGGGGGGGCAACAGTGGGAGGGCTTCTAATGTCCTGGTCCCACTGCTGGACCCCCTGATGGTGTTTTTGCCCCCTGTGTGACCCAGAGTGTTGGACTGGATGGGCCACTGGCCTGATCCAACATGGGCTTCTCTTATGTCCTTATGTTAACTCGGAGGGTGCTCACCTGACCAGGGTCTGGTTGTGGAGGTCCCAGACGGCGATGTTCCCGTCGCTGCAGCAGGAGAAGCAGACCTTGGCGTCCGGACTGATGGCCAGGGCGTAGCAGGCGGGGGCGGAGGAGGTCAGCTCGGCCTTGATCCGCGGGGTGGGGGAGGCCAGGTCCCAGATGGTGAGCGTGCTGGCCTCCCCGCCCACAATCAGCGTGCGCCCGTCGGGGAGGAGCTTGCAGGAGCGGATGTAGTTGTCCCTGTTCTGGAGGAGGGGAGGGGAGAGACAGAAGCCATGAGGCTGACTGCAGCAGGGCCCTCCCGCCCACGTCTCTCCCTCGTGACACTGGAACGTCTCAGGAGGGAAGTGGAACTTCCCTGGAGCAAAAAGGGGCCAAGGGGTGCAGGCACCAGCGTTCCCTCTAAGCTGACTTAGTGTGAGCTACCTCACCGTTTTTTAGCCTCCGGCTCACACATTTTTGTCTCGGCTCAGGAAGAAGGGCTCCAGAGCAAACTAACTTACTCAGCGGCCCAATCGCTCGCTCACAACTTTAATGCCAGCAGCTCACAAAGTACAGTCTTTGCTCACAAGACTCCACAGCTTAGAGGGAGCATGGCTATTGACAATGGAAGGGAAACAGAACTTCCCTGTAGCAAAAGGGGCTCGGTGGGGGGGATGCAGGCACAGGCCGGTGGGGGGCACAGAGACAGGTCTCTTCCATTGTCAATAGAACCCTATTCGAAGGGCTGTCAGAGGCAAGAGGCTAGTGTTGTAGGCAACCGAGGTTCAACCCTTCATCAACGAGGGTACCGATTCCCCCACCCAACCAGTCTCCCAGGGTCAAAGACAAGGACAGCTCAGTTAATGCGTCATGAGAAAGTAAACGTGAGCAGAAGACCCAGACAAGCCGATTGCTAGACAAAATTAGCTGCTCTCCTGACAGGGCCGCCGCCCCCAAAGAGAGACCTGACCTGCGGACAGACAGGCTCCAGTTACAGCTCAGAAGAGACACCTCCAACCCCCAAGATCAGATGCTCACTAAAGAACCAAAGAAGGGAGAGCCGGTGTGGCGTAGTGGATAGTGTGGGAGACTAGGAGCCTGGGTGTCCTGAGGTCGAATCCCCAGTTCTACCACGGAATCTCGCTGGGCGACCTTGGGCCCGTCGCAAACTCTCCGCCTGGCCTCCCTCACAGGGTTGTTGTGAGAAAACGGAGGAGGCGACGGCAATGCTCTAAACAGCTTTGAGTCCCGACTGGAGAGAAAAGTTGCCCGCATAAATAAATAAAAAACCGACGCGCGTCTCCTCACCAAGCAATCCAGCTGGGAGACGGGGCTCTTGCTCCCCGGCTGGCTGATGTCCCAGATCTTCACGCAGCCCTTCCCGCCCGTGTAGACGTGGCGGGTCGGGTTGCTGATGGTGACGGCGCAGACCACCTCACCATGGCTCAGCGTGTTGATCTGGCGCGCGTGGCGTGGGATGCCGGGGCCGGCCAGGGCGTCGTGCGGGAAGGGGACCGGCTGCATCTGCCCGTCGGCGCTCACGTGAAACGAGTAAGCCCTGTGGAGGGGGGAGACGACAGAGAAAACTGTTAAGAGTGGAGGAGGCTGGCCAGGGACCGCTCCACCCCAAGCCTCCAGAGCGGCAGCTGCCGGCCTTGCCTGGCAACATCCCAGCTGCGGCTGCCTGCCTGGCCTGGCAACCGGTCTCCACCACAGGCACGTGCACCGCGAAGAGAGCTCTGAGCCACAAAGAAGCATTCACGAGGAAGGGCCACCACACACCCCCTTCCTTTCTTCAGGGCACACACAGCCTCACTCCTCCGGAAACCTCCACCCCTCTCTTTCCTGCCTCAGACACAAAGCCCTGCCAGCCCCCTCTCTCTCGCTTGCAGGGGTGCACTGAGCTGGGGAAAGAGCCCAGCCCCTCGGCTGCCTGGCTTCCACCTCCCTTCCAAGGAGGGGTGGGGAGAGAGGCAGTTTCAGCCAACTGCTGCATGCATGTGCAGCCTGCAAGGTTGGTGGTGTTGCTTTGCACACCCCCTTCCTTGCTTGGGAGGGGGGAGAGAGAGTCAACTCTGCCCAACTCTACCCTGGCCTGACCTGCTACCTCCCTGGACTTCTGGTTGCACCATCAATTTACAAAGGGCAGGACCTGTATAAATGTTGTTCCTGTTGGTCTTTTGGGGTTTCTGTGTGGCACTGTGGCATGCTTGCACTGTCACAGTGCCACTTGTTCTGGAGTGCGCCACTTGTTCTCATGGCAAACAAGCACCTCCCAAGACAGTTCACTTTCCCTGAGATTCTCTGGGAGAGTCTGACTGCTGGGTGCTGCCTGCTTGCCTGCCTTAAGTGCTGCTGGCTGGGTTTCCCCATTAGAAACAATGGAGGTGATGGGGGTAACCTGTTTGGGTGCCCATAGAATTGGGCCCATTGGTCCAATTGCTTTGGGACATGGGGGTTTATATGGGGAGAGGCTCCCGAAGCTACTCTGAAAATCTGGAGCCTCTCCCTCAAACCCCTTCCCTCCCAGAGCCACTAACAGCACTGTGGGAAAAATGTAATTTTTGTTCCCACCATAGAGAACAATGGAGGGGGCGGGGCAACCTGTTTGGGGGCCCCGTAGAATTGGACCCCCTGGTCCAATGTTCCTGAATCTGGGTGGGTATCTTGGGGAGAGGCTTCAACAGCTACCCTGCGAGTTTGGAGCCTCTCCCTCAAATCCCCCCTCCAGCCCCCAGAATATACCCTATGTTTTTGCCATTGACTTCAATGGCCTATAGGATATAATGGCGCTGAAATTGACATTCGGCTGGCCCAAAGACTCCCAGCTGGTACTGACGAAACTGACATGCAAGAGTCTTACTGCAGGCCGAAATTGATTCCTGTTGGTCTTTTAGGGTTTCTGTGTGGCACTGTGGCATGCTTGCACTGCCACAATGCCACTTGTTCTGGTGTGTGCCACTTGTTCTCATGGAAAACAAGCACCTCCCAAGACAGATCACTTTCCCTGAAAAAATTCGGCCAATTCGGATGGCCAACAGTGGGAGGGGCTTCTAGTGTCCTGGCCCCACTGCAGGACCTCCTGATTGCAGCTGGTGTTTTTGGCCACTGTGTGACTCAGAGTGTTGGACTGGATGGGCCACTGGCCTGATCCAACATTGGCTTCTCCTTTGTTCTTATGTCAATTCTGGTTTGGGAAACCGTCCCCTAGCCACACGAGCTCTGCTGCCGGTGCCGCTGGCTGCCTCTGGAGCCCCAAAGAGGAGTTTCACGCCCTCCAACTGCCTCCCCCCCTGTTGGGTATTACAAGTTAAATTACACTCAGTATATCTGGGGTTAAATGTTTGTTTGTGTTGCTCACAGGAAATCACATGTTTCCCATGTAACCAATGTTAGTTTAGGACTACAAGCCCGGGAAAATTCTCCCAGATCTAGGAGTTTTATTGGAAGTAAAGTGTCAAGGTGTTTTAGCATTTTATGGCTCCTCTTCCCGTCTTTGTTTGCTGTTCTCAAGGAGAAGGAAAGAGCAGCCATAAGCCTCTCTTCTAGTCTTGTCTTTGTAGTGTAAAGATGTAGGGAATTTAGCTCCGTTGTTATTTTCATCCCAGTTACCCTTCCCTATGCTCAAATGTAGTAAAAACTTTCTATTTTAAACACACATGGACTCTGGGTCTGAATTATTTTTCTCTGGCACTGCTAAGCTATTTTATCTCTGCTAAAAACCAATTTTTAAAACCCAACACCCCCCCCCCCTTTCCACAACACGACAGGTTCACAAAAGTGGAATTCTGTAGCTTCGGGGGTGGGGTGGGGGGGAAGGTCACAGAGAATGGCTTACGGCTTGCCGCCGGGAATCGACGCCAGGCTGGTGGGCAGGACTGGGGCCCTCATGGGAGGATGGGGGTCGAAGCCGACCTGGAACCGGATCACAAAAGGACACAAAAGTGAGTACACACTGAGAATGTCCCAAAGACACCGTGCCAAACAAAAACAACAACAAAAAGAAGAGAGCCCCCCTGGCTGCCCCACAAGAACCGCACTTGCCCAATAATCCAAACGGAGCAGCGGGCTCAGCTGAAACGCCTGTGCCGTTGCCGGGTTCCCAGCCATCGGAGGTGCAACTCGACAGCCTCCCGCAGAGGGAAACGGTGTAGGGTTTACGGAGGCTCTATTTACACCCTGACAGGACTTGACCTAATTTCCGCCTGCACCAGACCTCCCCTGCGCCATCTGGCTGATTTGGGCCCTGAATCGCAGCCAAACACATTAACCTCTCGCCTCCCCCCACCCCCCCTCCTTTTGTTCTCCTCAACTTCCACCCTGGTGAAGGTTTATTTTTATTATTTACTTTATCAGACTTCCAGCCCGCCCGCCCGCCCGCCCGGGCACCACAAGGCTCAGGGTGGGGTACAAGTCAAAAACAGTATTGCACATTAAAACAATTTAATGTAGTCATAATTAAAAACAAAACCAGGTGGTCCCCATCAGACACCAAATACCTAATTTACCCTCGTGAGGCTGTGCAGGTGGTGTGGCTTATAAAGCTGGTACACGGGGCAATAAACGGCAGAGGAGGGGGGGAGTTATCTGGGGAAGGACAAACTGGATGGGAAAACTTTGCTGCCTCAACCGTACGCCCGGCGGAACCAGGGGTCATTTTATGCAGGAGCGCACAGGAGCGGAGCTCCGGCAGTAAAGAGCTCAGGGGGTAGGCACATGCAACAAGCCCCACCCCCTGCTCCCAGCAGCCCTCAAGTACAAAACAGTCCAGTGGCACCTTTAAGACCAAGTTTTATTCAGGTACAAGCTCTCCCTCCTCTGCGAGGACAGATCTGCACGTTCCCCCCCCCCATAGCTAGCAATCCAAAAGAGTCCAGTGGAGCCTGAGCGGTGGGTGTTGCCTTCTGACACACTTCCGGGTGATGTCAGGGGGCGTGGCCTATGCAAATGAGTTATGCTAATGAGCTATGCTAATGAGCTCCTGCACCTCTTTTTCTACGAAATGACCCCTGGGTGGAACATTTCAGTTTCAGAGGCGTGCGGAACGGAGTCAGGCTCTGCAGGACCCGGATCTCATCTAGAAGAGCCCTAAAAGCTCTGGCCTGGGGGCTGAGGCGAGACAAGGAAGCGGTTGTACGTAAGAGCGCACTGGGGGGCACACAAAAGCGGATAACTACTGTGCGACTTTTCCATTGGTCCGACCAAGGAATGCATCGCCCTGCAAGGAAGAGGCACCACGGCAGGGGTCTCTCACCCCCACCCCTCTCCCCAGGCGCCTGCTTACAGACAGCTGGGTCCCAGGTCTCCCCCCCACACTCTTTGCTGAGCACGCACAGGACATCCACGTTGGGGGCAGTCAGTCAGGGGAAGAACTGGCTCACCCTGCCCTCCAGTTTTTAGGGCACAACTCCCCTGGGGACTCAGCATTTTCCAGACTGGGTGGGCAAACAGCACCCCTTCGAGCTCTGGTGGGAGACGGTCCTTACACAGGTGTCGAGGAAGCCCAAAATTCTCTTTTCAAAACAGGCCCCCCCCCC